AGCCAGGCGGGGCGGGCGGGCGCGACGGCATCTTCCGATCGATCGAGGCCTGGTCCATGAGCTCCTGCACCTGTTTCTGAAGGTCGGCGAGCAGGGTGGCGCGATTCTCGATGGCCTGCTCATTCGACTCAACTCTCTGGGACAAAACGTCACATTGATCCTGCAGTTCACGCTGAAGCCGATCAAACATCGGCCTCGTGGTGTCCATGATCTGCTGGTCGCATAGTTTTGCCTGCGCCTCGATCTGCCGGGCGAGCGTGGCGAGCGCGGCGAGGATCGGGCCATTAGCGCGCTGAACAGCGGACGAGACGGCAGCCGAGACGATGTGATCAAACTCTCCGCGGAGTTGGTTGAAGCGGGCAGCGATGTCCGCATGGTAGAATGCACGAGTGAATGCGGCGTGCTGCTCCTCACCATCACGAGCATGAGGGCCAGGGGGATGGACAACGCCGCCAGGGGGGCAGCCCATCGAAGCGGCCTGCGCCCAGGGATCGAAGGGCGGTGCACCGCTGGGCGTCGAGCAATCGGCATGGGTGCGACGGACTGCGAGATCTGGCTGCGATGGGAACGCGGGGGCCGCCTCCAACTCTTCCGCCAAGGCCGCGAGCTGAGCTGGGTCTAGGACACCACCAACTGCAGCGGGGTCAGGGCCACGATGCGAAGCGGCGGCAGTAGCAGGCGGCGGGACATCCCAGCCTGAACCCCGAGCGCGGCCAGCACGACGAGGGCGACGGGGAGCAGCCATGGGAACACCCGATGGACCCCTGGCTGCTGGGCGAGCACGCACGGCACGGCGCACACCGCGGCTTCCTCCACTGCGAGAAGCCGAGCGACGGTCATCCCCTTCAGGGCCTGAATTCGAGGAAGCGATTGTGGGGTCGGTATCAGCGTCCTCGCGTGCGTCCACGCGATGCATGTGAGGGTGAGGACGATCGCACACAGCAGGGCCCATCGCGGACTGTGAGTGAGAGCCGTCGTCGCCTCTCCCCGGTGGAGCCCAGAGGGTCAGATGGTGGGCCACAAAGCACGGGCACTGAAGCTCCTGTGCCGCGAGGCCTGTCCTCGCAAGAGGGGCGCTTTGAGCCGTCCCCTCGGCAGCGATCAAGCTCGAAGCGCCAGGGAAGCGTTTCGAACTTGAGCCAAAATGGCTACGGAGGGAGAGGAATCGGCCCCCCCAGCCCAGTCGGCAACGCAGCTGCCCCCCCGTGAAAAACATCGGGGCAGTTACTGTGCGCGTTGACTGCGATGTGGCAGGGCCTGCGCGCGACCCCTCGTGGAGCCTCCCGCCGCGGGGCCCGCCGCGGGGCCCACGCGTGCAGCCACGAAACGCACGGAGACACCCAGGGAGCCCGAGGCGCGCACGGAGAAACCCATGAAGGCCCTCGTAGAGGCCTCCTAGATGGGGTCGGAGCAGATGGGGCCGGAGGATCGCACCGCATCGCCGATACATCGGCGATGCATCGGCGATGCATCGGCGATGCACCGGCGATGCATCGGCGATGTCGGCGGTACATCGTCGACACCAGCGCAAAGAGAATTGGGTTCCACATCGAGCCGCATCGCCGATGCATCGGCGATGCGGCGCGATCCTCCGACCCCATCTGCTCCGACCCCATCTAGGAAACCTAGACCTCGTGCTGCTCCCCCATCCATCCGTCCTCCTCGTCCTCCTCCTCGCCTCCTCCTTTTCCTCCTTCTCCTCCTCCTTCTCCTTCTCCTCCTCCTCCTCCTCCTCCTTCCCTCGCTCCCTCCCCCAAAAAGCCCTAGGGCACCCGAGTGGGTCTCCACCCCCGTCACCTAGGGGGACCCCGACGTTGGGGTTACGGCCCCGGGTCCCTCGCCACAAAAAACGCCCCCTACCGGACGCAGCTCTTGAAGAACTGCTCCCGTGGCTGAAATCTAAGTTCTACGAATTCGCTAAATTATGCAAGGAGAAAGGCAGGAGGAAAGGGAGGGGCGAGGAAGAAGGCGGAAGCAAGGACGGCCCAGCAGGGCAGGGAGAAGAAAAGGAAAGGGGCGGCTAGGGGCGGGGGCGGTCGGGTCGGTGGTGATAGTGGCAGCGGTGGTGTTCATGGCGCCGTCGCGCTGGTGGTGGTCGCGGCGTCGCTGGTCGTGGGGGTCTTCGTGATCAGAGTCGTCGTCGCGGCGGGGGTGGTGGCATTGGTTGTCGTGCAGTTGGCAGTCGCGGTGGCCCGGGTTCGTGGCTGCGGTCGCGGCCGCTTGTGGTGGTCACTGCGCTGGCGGCGGTCGCGGTGGACCAAGCGGAGGCGGGGGGCTGCTCGCTTAGCGCCCGAATTCGCTCAGCAGCATTTCAGTACTATCCCTTTGGAGGGTTCTGCTGATTTGCCGCCAGAGGCTGCCCAGCAGCTCGGAGCGCTCGCCGTCGTCTAGGTCGGCTCCGGAGCTGCGGACGAAGCTGGCGGCTTCATCGCTGGGCTGGCCCCCTGTCTCGAAGACGAAGGGGACGAGCTCGCCCACGGGTGGAGGGTACTGCTCCCGCTTCTGTTCCATATTTTGGGCGGCCGCCAAGCCGTCTCTGTCTGCACGGGCACCCCTGCGTGGAGCGTAGGTTGAAAGTACGCAGGTGATTTCCAAATCGCTGTAGACGTGGCGCCCGTTGGCCAGGTCGTTAGTGGAGAGGTCGAGAAACGCTTGCTGCAGCACCCGGGTGCGGGGGTGGCGACGATCCCAAGCAGGGACGGCCTGCTCCGTGGGCGCCGCGAAGCCTGTGAGCTCCTTGTGTTTCTCAGAGTGCCAGTCGCGACAATTGTTGTGGCGCTGGTTGCGCGACGCGCCCACCTCGCACTTGACTGCGTGCCAGCCGTGCGGGTCGAGGGCCTCGTTGCAGAGACTTCCAGCCTCGCGGCGGTACTGGCAGCGGGAGCCAGGCGGGCAGACCGGGACGCAGAGCCGCCGCTTGAGGTTGCCACAGAAGTGCCCTTCCTCCCTCCCTCCCTCTCTCCCTCCCTCCCTCCCTCCTCCTCCTCCTCCTCCTCCTCCTCCTCCTCCTCCTCCTCCTCCTCCTCCTCCCCTTCCTCCCCCTCCCTCCCTTCCTCCTGCTCTCCCCCTCCTCCTCCTCCTCCTCCTCCTCCTCCTCCTCCTCCCTCCTCCTCCTCCCTCCTCTCCTCCTCCTCCTCCTCCTCCTCCTCCCTCCTCCTCCTCCTCCTCCTCCTCCTCCTCCTCCTCCTCTCCTCCTCCTCCTCCTCCTCCTCCTCCTCCTCCTCCTCCTCCTCCTCCTCCTCCTCCTCCTCCTCTCCTCCTCCCCTCCTCCTCCTCCTCCTCCTCCTCCTCCTCCTCCTCCTCCTCCCCTCCTCCTCCTCCTCCTCCTCCTCTCCTCCTCCTCCTCCTCCTCCTCCTCCTCCTCCTCCTCCTCCTCCTCCTCCTCCTCCTCCTCCTCCTCCTCCTCCTCCTCCTCCTCCTCATCACATCACACCAGTCACTTGAACACTATGGGCAGATGTTTATACCACCTCCCTTTTTTCTCGGCAATGGCTGGGCTGATCGGTTCGCTCGTGCTGGTGCTCTGGAGCAGAAGGTCAGCCAGGTCTACGAGGAGTTCTGTATGATAGAGTATCGGCAGCATCAGCAAGTGGCTAAGTACATGGCATGGGCGATGCGCAGGATGCTCACGGTAGGTGGATGGGAGCCCGAGCAAGAAGATGTACCAGTGCGTGCTCCTCCTTATCTACAGCCTCGGCTTACGGTTGTTGAGCATCAGCTGGTTCGTCTTGAATCGGGCTGTCTTCTTTGCAGGGCGTGTTGCCGCACTACGGCGGTGTCTGGAGGATCTACTCTGGCACAGTTTCTCCGATCGGAGTGCCTGCCCAATTTCATTGACAGTGCTCGCGCTGATGCGCATATTCGCAAGTATGGGGCTTATTGAGTGGCCAAGTCTTGGGCGGTCGAAGCTGCTCTGGAGGCTACTGATCGTTTTGAGGCTCAGGAGGGGGAGATGCTACCACCTGCTGATGGTGTAGTTTCCTCCACTTGAGACGCTGAAGATGTGATTGTGCATGATGGTCATCGACTTAGGCGTGCAGGTGCTACTGTATTATTTGAGGAATGTGTATCTTGGTCGCGTTCGGGACACTCGGCGGCTCTGCACAGAACTTGCGCTGGATTTCCCACTGGAGAGGACAAGGCTTCCACTTGCTTGTCGAACCTTCGTCGGTTACGACAGTCGATGGCCTCGCGACACCTCAAGACCAAGAAGTCGCTCTAAAATTTCTCTCCTGGATGGGGTGAGTCGTCCTCGGCAAGAGCCTGCGTGCACCGTGGGCTCACCTGTCAGGCTGTGAGCATCTTCTGGCGCTTGTCGTCGGGCGTCTCAACGCGTCACGGCGTCACGGTCCCGAGGCCCGCCGGGCGTCACGGCGTCACGGTCCGGGGCCAGGGACCCTTCCGCTCTCCTCACATCTTCTGGCGCTTGTCGTGCAGTTGGAGATGCTCTTCATTTGTGCCGTTGGTGTTTGATCGCGGTACTATTTCAGCTGTTGGTTCAATGACTCTTTTCTGGCCCCCACCGCTGCGGGGGCCCTATTCTGCCAGTCCAGGCTGGTAGGGGGCTGGGGGAGCTCCCCGCGAATCACTTGATTTTTGAGATATGGTGCGTCGTCAGCGAGGCCGTGTCTCTTTGGTGTTGAACTATGGGGTGGTGTCAGGGTCACTCACATGCTCAACGGCGTCGTTCAGGCCTCGGTCGAGGCCTGATGCGGGCCCTCTGGCCCCTCCCTCAGCCGCCGCGTGTTCGGGACACGGACGCGTGCACCACGCCTCGTACCATCGTACCCTCGTACCCTCGTACCCTCCTCCTCCTCCTCCTCCTCCTGCTCCTCCTCCTCCTCCTCCTCCTCCTCCTCCTCCAACCTCCTCCGCCTCCGTCCTCGTCGTCTCGCCCTCGTCGCCTCGTCCGTGTCGTCTCGTCCTCTTCGTCTTCGTCGCCGCGCCGAGCACATCGTCTTCGTCGTCAGTCGCGTGTGCCGACCGCCGCTCCCTCGCTTTTTGCATCCAGGGGGCTGGCGCCCCGCGCCGCGGCCGCCAGGGGTCCAGCAGCGGCCGCCGCCGGCCGAGCCACAGCATGAAAGGGGGGGGGATGAGCAGAGAGGGGGTGAGGGAGGGAGGGGTTCCCTGACACCCATTCGCTGCGGAAAAATCACGACGGAGCGTTGTTGCTCGTCGTCGGCATCCTTGGTGCCTTTTCCAGGCCTCCGGGGCATCAAAAACTACTCAGGATGAAAAAGAAGTCCTGGGGGGGGGGTCCAGACGTCCAGGGGGACACAGAAGAAACGAAACAAAAAACACGCGACGTCGGATGTCTGGGATGAAGGAGGGAGGAGGAGGGAGCCCAAAGCCGGCGGAACGGTTGGGCAGCGACTGGCTGGAAACTGAGCTGGGCCCTGCTCGGTTTTTCGCGCGTGCCGTTTGATTTTTTCCTGGTCCACGACGTAGCACTGCTGGCAATAATTCGGCGGCCTTTGTGGCTCTCAACATGCCGCTCGATGAATGGCTTGGTGATTGTACCACTGGTGGGGGACTAGGAAGAGGAGGGTGGAAAAGGGAGCGAGGAGGGAGGAGGAGGAGGAGGAGGAGGAGGAGGAGGAGGAGGAGGAGGAGGTGTAGGAGGAGGGGACGGAAAGAGAGGAGGGAGAGAGGGAGAGGAGGGAAGGGGAGGAGGGAGGGCTCGCTTTCTCAACGTCGGATGTGGCAGGTGCTGCTCTCGAAGAGGGAGGGAGGGAGGAGGGAGGGAGGAGGGAGGGAGGGAGGAGGGAGGGAGGGAGGGAGGGAGGGATAAGGACGAGGAGGCGGAGAGGGGAGGGAGGAACCGAAGAGGGAGCCGGAAGGGGGAGGGGGACGGGGAGGAGCAGCAGCAGAGACGATAGAGACGAGTGGAGAATAGGACAGGAGGCGGAACAACGATGAAGGCATACTGAACTCGGAGAGTTAGGTGAAAACACCAGGGAGCGAGAGAGAGAGAGAGAGAGAAACAAAGAGAGAGAGAGAGAGAGCGAAACATGTATATATATACATCAGAGGCGAGAGAGAGAGAGAGAGCGCGAGAGAAACAGACGAGAGAGCTTGAGAGAGCGAGATAGATAGAGATAACACATGTGCACATGTATAAAGGAAGAGGGGAACGTGTAACATACAACAGAAACATGCGGCAAAGAGAGAAAGAGAGAGAGAGAGAGACTAGCGAATGTGAGAGAGAGAGGGAAGATCAGAGAGAGAGAGAGAACAAAAAAAAAAGTGAGGGAGAGTGAGCTAGAGCAATGTGGAAAGTATGCCCTGAGAGTTGCGTGAGTCTGTGGCGCACGGCGTGTGAGAGGAATGTCGACAAGCCAGAAAAAAACGTCGTCTGTTTGCCTGAAGGCGGGCGAACTATGGGCATCTGGAGCTGGGGTGGTGGTGTATGTTGTGGTCTGCGGGTTCTTACGTGGTCTGTGTCGCGACTCTGCTCCGTGATTGGAGGCGCAATTTCTGCTTGTGTGTCGGTCGTCCGTGCCTCCTCTGGAAAGGCGACCTGATCAGTCGGATGAAGGTGCTTTGTTTGGTTGCAGTGTTGGTGTCTGCGCTGCTAGCGTAGGAGTTTGATGCCGAAGGGGTGCATATGCTGCCTACCGATTGCTGCGTAGGTGCCTCGTGGCAGCGAATCCTGCATAGCAGAGCATCGCCGCTGTTCTGGGTAAGTCCACAGCCCAATCGCCTCCCATGCACTGTGCCACTATTGTAATTGCCGTGGTAGTCATGGCGTCTGGTGCTGTCGTGCGTAGCCTAAGCTTGTCGTGGATATGCTGGTTGACAAGAGCTACGCTAATGCGGCAATGAAGGTCGTCATTGTACGGGTCCTGCATGTCGTCAATCGCGGCTCTTAGTCTCAGTCTAGGTGCTGCTGCCAGTCGTGGTGGTGATGGTGGTTAATGTGGGTCTGTCTTTGGTGGCGTACTTGAGGATGAGTCCCTCAGTAGGCTCTGCTGGTGGTATCGTGGAGTCGAACTGTGGTACTGCCTGGAGGTCTGGTCGTAAAGGTGGGCGTGGTAGCACGTGTGGGTATTGTTGCTGGCGAAGTACTCGCTGTTGTATTTGTCGAGGTACCTGTGCCACGTGTCAAAGAGAAGATGGTCGTTGGGGAACCTTCACGTGTAGCTGTTGTCGTGACCATTGTAATGGATCACGCAGTGCCAACGGTATTCGCCCATGCTGTCATCCGAGGAGCGGTGCACTGTCCATCCCGGTGCGCAATGCATATCGTGCTGAGGGTGTGGTGGTAGGGATGTCAATGTAAATGGCGTGGGTTCGTTGCTGTAGTAGTCGCTGTCACTGTTATTGCTGCCCCACAGGTCGTCGGCAGGTGCTGATGCGGCTTTGCGAGTGGCCATGGCCGCCGATTGTGGTAGCCGTGCGTTGTCGCAGTCGACTGAGTGCCATTGCCCCTCCTCCTCCTCCTCCTCCTCCTCCTCCTCCTCCCACTCCGCCTTCCCCTCATGCTCCTCTCCCCCCACCTCCAAGGAACGAGCGCGAGTGGGGCAATCTGAAGGGGGACAAAAGCTGGCGAGCGGGACGGGGGGGAGGGGAACGAGGAAGAGGGGAAGGAGAAGAGTAGAAAGAGGGAAAAAGGAAGAGGAGGCGGAGGAGGAGGACGACGAGAAGAAGGAGGAATGGAGGAGGGGGGAGGAGGGAGGAGTAAGAACACGGAGTGTGCAGAGAAGAAAAAGGAGGGAGAACGAGCAGGAGAGTGAAGAAAGGGAGGCGGAGTGAGAGAAAGAGAAAGAAGAGGAGGCAAAGAAAAGGAGGTCACAGGACACACTAAGACCAGGCAAGGAATGCACAGTTGCAGACTACAGGAATTGAAAACATGCAACGCAGATAGAGAAGCTCACACCACATGAACTGTACCGTTTGCCTGGCCCCATCTCGTCTCGCAGTCCCGAACTTGCTACCACAGCTTGCGTGGACTCACGTACGAAACGAGTGGCTCAACACGCAGAGTAATGTGTGGCACTCCATGTGCGGCTGGCTATGACATGACAACAAACAACACAACTTCGTGATTCCACGATTCATTCCGCCCTCATGCCAGCGCACTCACTTTCATAGCATTGTGCGTCCCCGCGCCATCATGGCATTGTTGCTCCTCCGCCTGCTCTGTGTCATCCTCCGTTTCCTTCTGAGGGCGCTCATGCTGCTGGATCGGCTTCCCATGCTGTCCCGCTCAAAGGTTTGAATGCTCGTCGTCATCATCACCATCATCATCCTGCTCAACAGCCTGAGTCCAATCATCATCACCATTAGCCTCGCCATCCTCATCATCCTAATATCTAGCCCAATCGTGCTCATCTTCCCCTGCAGCTGCCGCTACCGCAGTTGCTCCAGGTGCTCCGAACCTCGAAAATGTGAGGCATGAGCATGGACAAACCCAACTCTAAAGCCACAAAAGCCAAGAACAGGCAATGCCAGACAATTCGAATCCAGAGCGTCCACGAACTCAAACATCCAGCAGCCATGATCCCAACACCAAGCCCACCAACAGAGCGCAACGCGCAGCATGCCACATCAAAAACACGCCAACACAAACCATATCATTAATTCAAACTACCGCGAACAAATTCGTATCACACCAATGCGGAAACAACACAATTCCTTAACAGTCTGAACCCGGATCGCAACACCAAACACACATGCACAAAGACGACGCAACGCACAACCTGGCAGATCCAAGCAAAGCAAACGCCGCACATCTCAACGTGACGCGGCAACGTAATTAGACCAAAGCAAAGCAGCCGTGACAGGGTAGCGCAAAACAAAGAAAATCCAACCACTAAACACATGAATGGAGAGAAAAAGGAAGGGTTTTGAGGAGATCGAGAACACCTAAACCATCAAGGCCCAAAGCGGGAAACCGACCCATCCAACCACAAAAACCAAACCCGCACCCCGAAACACCGCCTTCCGATTCCCAAAAGCTATCGCAAACCCCGAAACTGACCGACAATCGGGAGGCACACGAGGCACCCAACAGCCCCCAAGAAGCGCCCAATCGATCCCATGCGGCCTCCAAGAGGCGTCCAGACCCCCGAGGCCCTTTCAAGTATGGCCCTGACAAGCCAAAAGCATTGATTGACAAGGTGTGTCTTCATGGTCGAAGATCGGTCCTCTTGCGGTCTTCGACTGCCCAGAAAAGCTGTGAGAGCCCCAAGAGGGCCCGTAGTCGGCCAAGGACAACTCACAGAGAGCCCAAGCTGGCCCAAGAGGGCCCTTGGAAGGACATAGAATAGCCAAAGAGAGCCCGTAGACGGCCCAAGAAGGCCCAAACGACCCCACAGAGTACCCCAAGAGCCTAAGTCGGCCCAAGACTGCCCAACTAGTCCCCATGAGAGCTCCCCAAGAAATGGAGACGCGAGGTGTCACAATTGACGGTCTTCTACTTGGTACTCGGCGGGTCACAATGCCGACCGATTCGCTGGGACGGCGGCGGGCTTGCCGCAATAATATGGATAATCCTACCATCAGGATTCACTATATTATATTCATGCGCGTGTTTCTCATCATCACCCCCCTCGTTTCCTCATCCTCTTCCTCCTTCTCCACCTCCAACTACTGCTGCTGCTGCTGCTACTACTACTACTACTACTACTACTACTACTACTACTACTACCGGTACTGCCTCTGGTACTACTACAAAAACGGCTCGCACGAAGGCTATTACTTCTATCACTACCACCACTATTTCTACTAATACAACACCAACTACGACTACGACTACGACTACGACTACGACTACGACTATGACTACGACTACGACTACGACTACGACTACGATTAGTGCTACGACTGCTACTACTGCCACTACTGCTACTACTGCTACTACTACTACTACTACTACTGCTACTACTACTACTACTACTACTACTACTACTACTACTACTACTAGTACTACTACTACTACTACTACTACTACTACTACTACTACTACTACTACTACTAGTACCACCGTTAATATTACACCTACTGATACTGCGAGTACTGCTACAACTACAACTACTACGATTACTACCACCACTGTGACGGGTACTACAACTACTACCACTACTACTGCTACCACTCCTACTCTCACTACTGCGACTCCTACTACGACTAATTCTACTATTACGACTACGATTACTACTACAACTACTACGACTGCTGTGACTACTACGACTACTACTGCGATTACGACTACGACTAAGACTGCTACACCTACTTAAACCGTTATTACTACTACTTCTACGACTAGTTGTACTACTACGACTACTACACCTACTACTCCTCCTACTACTACTACTACTACTACTGCTACTACTACGGCTACGAGTATTACTACTACTACTACTACTACTACTAAAACTACTACTACTAATACTACTACTGCTACTACTACTACTACTACTACTGCTGCTGCTGCTGCTGCTGATACTACTACTACTACTACTACTACTACTACTACTACTACTACTACTACCCCTACTACTACTACTACTACTACTACTACTGCTACTACCACAACTACTACTACTACTGCCACTGCTACTACTACTACTACTACTACTACTACTACTACTACTACTACTACTACTACTACTACTACTACTACTACTACTACTACTACTACTACTACTACTACTACTACTACTACTGTTACTACTACTACTACTACTAATACTGCTACTACCACCACCACCACCACCACCACCACTACTACTACTACTACTACTACTACTACTACTACTGCTACTTATACCACGCATTCTACTACCACGACTGCGGTTACTGCTACAGCTATTACGGCTACGACTACGCTGCATCTACTGCCACGACTACTACTACGACTAAAGGGTAATACGACAGCCACCACGACCTCAAGCACCACTACTACTACTACTACTACTACTACTACTACTACTACTACGACTACTACTACTACTACTACTACTGCTACTACTACTACTACTACGACTACGACGGCTACTACTTTTACGACTTCTACAACTAATCTGCTACGGCCACTGTTACTAATGAGACTACAACAGCTACCCCTACTACGACTACTACCATATCATCTTCTGCCCCGCCTACTGTTAGTACAACTACTACTATTCGTGTGGGAACTACTATCACTACTGCGACTGCTACTACAACTACTACAACTACTAGTGGTAGTAGTAGTGGTAGTAGTAGTAGTAGTAGTAGTAGTAGGAGTAGTAGTAGTAGTAGTAGTAGTATGACTACTACTACTATTACTACTACTATTACTACTACCACTACTGCTATAACGACGACTACTACTACGACTACGACTACTACTACGACCACAGTTGGTAGCACGACTACCACGACCACCACGACTACGACTCCTACTACGATTACGAGAACTATTACTACCACTACTACTACAACTAAGACTAATACTCCTACTGCTACTACTACTACTGCCACTACTACGGCTACTACAAAGAAAGCGGCTACTGCGCCTCCAACTACGACTACCACGACTACTACTGCTAGTACTACTACTACGACTACTACTACTACTACGACTACTACTACGACTACTACTACTACTACAACTACTACTACTACTACTACTACTACTACTACTACTACTACTACTACTACTACGACTACTACTACTACTACTACTACTACTACTACTACTACTACTACTACTACTACTACTACTACTACTACTACTACTACTACTACTACTACTACTACGACTACGACTACTACTACTACTACTACTACTACTACTGCTACTGCTACTGCTGCTACTCCTGCACTAACACTACTGTTACTACTACTACCTCTAATGCTACTACCACCACTGCGGGTACCACTTCAACAAGTACTACAGCCATTACTACTACGACCACTGTGGGGAAGGGAGGGGGGTAACCCGGGGTTGACCCTCTAAATTTTTGACGAAGGAGAATCTGTGTTGCGCAATTGATTTTGCAAATGAGTTGGCAAACTCCATGCTCTTGCAAACGTCCCACCCACTCACCCGCAACTTGGCTTGCGAAACCCATGCGGCGGCGATTGCGATGAGAGCTTGGCATTGGCGGGTGCATGTCTGCGGCCGCGCTAGCCCGCGTACGCTCGCGCGGGCAGCGGCAAGCTAGTTTGGCGTGATCGACGCGGCCGCGGAGGTGCTGACCGCTGGGCACTTCCCAGCGGGCACGGTAGTGCGAGTCGGCGACTTGGCTGGGCGCGGTATCATGGCGACGCCGGCAGCGGTAGACGCGATTGTAAGAATAGCGATGATGGTAGCGATGGTTGCGATGACGGCAGCAGGGCCAATGACGGCGCCGACGTTGATCACGCCCGCGGGTAACGACGAAGACGTCCTCGCGTCGGCGATGAAGGTTTTGGAAAGAGTTCGACAAGCGCCCGCGGCCGACGCACGTGAGTGGCCCGCGTAATAATATTTGGCACGGATCCTGTACCCCCAGCGCGCGCGCAAGGGCGAATGAGTTTGACATGTGGCGCGGAAGGCCCGCTTGGCAGAATGTGCTGACAATGTTGAAAACCTATGGTTTTCTTAAGATTTCGCAAGAGCTGCCGCGCAGCCCTTTTTGGAAAACTGATGTTGCAGAATCATGTGTTTTGACATGTCCTCGGGACGCTCGTTCTCAAACCCTTGCGAAACCACCGGGTGTTCAAAGGATTTCGGCATGCGCACGCGACGACGCGCGCGTGTGCGCATCGCACCGTTGTTCGCAATGGGCCCTTGCGACAGCACGCGGACAAACGCGTTCGAACAATTTCGACATTCGCGCGCGAGGCCCGTTTGGTAGCATGTTGCGAAATTTTGAAAAAGCATGGTTTTGTTATGAATCTGCAAGAGCGCGAGCGCACGCTTTTCTTGGAAATCCTTGTTGGGAAACGATGTGCTTTAAAATGCGTTCGTGGCACTCGGTCTGGAATTTCTGACGAAACCTCAACTTCTTGGTTAAATGCACCAAAGAATCGGCATGCGCGCGACGACGCGCGCGTGCGCACTTCGTGCCATTTGTTGCACGGGATTTTGAAAGCAAAAAACTAAAAACTAATGAGCTTTGATCAACGAGCGCGCGCCAAACTTTTGCTGCTGAGGATGACGGGGGCCAGATACTGGCCTGCCTGAAACGGTATGACATACATTATCAGCATGGGCGATGGGGCAAAATCAAACGTACATTGCAATTCGAAATTGTGAACCGTTCATTCCAGGCGGGGGGCAGATCCTAATACTTCTTGAGGAAAGATAATCTATGGTGTGCAACCTACGCTGTACAACCTCCAAGCAGAGCCAGGCAACGGGGCCCAGACGACGAGGCGGCGACGGCGAGCGACAACAAGGCGGCGGACCCGATGCCTGGGCGCAGACGACGGGCGGCGACAAAGCGGAGACGACGACAACATAGGCGGCGGACCCGACACCGGGGCCCAGATGACGGGCGGCGACGAGGCGGCGACAGGGCGGCGACAGCGACAGCAATGCGGCGGACCCGACACCGGGGCCTAGACGCCTCGCGGCGACGAGGCGGCGACGGGGCGGCGACGGCGAAAAAAAGGCGGCGGACCCGACACCAGTTCGTTAGAAGACAAGTGCGAATCCCTAAGCGCGTGAGAGCACTGATGGACAAATACTGCCAACAAGTTCGCAACGCGGAGCGGCACTGTCCTCTTCGCCGGATCGCAGTCATGACAACTCGCCAGGAGGAGGAGGAGGAGGAGGAGGAGGAGGAGGAGGAGGAGGATGAGGAGAAGGGGGAGGAGGCGGAGGAGGAGGAGGAGGAGGAGGAGGAGGAGGAGGAGGAGGAGGAGTAGGAGGGGGAGGAGGAGGAGGAGGAGGAGGAGGAGGAGGACGAGGAGGAGGAGGACGAGACTCATCCAGGACGTGAATGCACTGTGATCGCGCCCGCTCGTCGTCCTGCCATGCGGTTGTCCTGTTCATCGCTTACGTTGTGCAGGCCCGCGGATGTCCGAAAAATCGCCGACCTTGTCAAGAGCCCTCGTTGCAGCTAGTCCACCCGCCCCAACAAGTGGCGCCTCCTTCCACAAGTATTAGCTGTCTTGCTCATCGTCGTCCATCAAATCGTTAGAGTTGTCCTTCCATATGCGGCAAGTGTTATCCTGTTCAGGGGCGGGTCGAGATAAGCACAGACCACGCGTTCGCGTTCGCTCTGGCAACTACTTATCCTCTGACTCATCAACGATTCTCCTTTCCCCATCGCCCCCTCTCATCGGCGTGCATGTGACAGGGCGCGGCAATGATGCAGAGAGATGACGAAATGCAGAGACATGAGAAGCCAGACGATAGCATGCAGATAAAACGAGAAAGAGAGAGAGAGAGAGTGAGAGAGAAAGGGAGCAAGGTGAGAGTAACAACACTGAAGGGAGCAGGACAGGAACTTCGGACAGGCAAAGGAAAAGCAAAGGGATCTGGGGCAAGGAAGGGACAGGAACGACGAGAAAGAAGGGGGGGGTCGTGAGAGAACAGAGGGCACTGAGGCAAAGACAAGGAAAGAGACCTGGGCAAGGAAAACGGATGTGTATAACCACAGGCAGAAAAATACCGACAGAGACAAGGACAGGGGAGGCTGGGAGGCTGGCGGGAGCAAGTTCACAGTGGGAAGAGCCCGGCCGCTCGCCGGTGTGGAACTGCGAGCACCACAACATGCTCGAGCACTGAAGCATGCTAGTCAGCACCACACCATGCCTGTGAGCACCGCGCCATGCCTGTGGGGGGACCGCCGCCCGGGCCCCCCGCCCTCGCGCAAGTTCGGCACCGCTACGGGGAAGGGGGGGAGGGGGCGGGCGACGCCCATAACGGAAGTTACGCCTCCACCGGCTACTAAAACAATCTCAAGGGCCAAAAACCAACCATTGAGCTCAGTGGTGCTTACCGCGCCCGCGGCCCAGGCTAGGCATAGCGCCCTGGCCTGCTGGACAGTAGTTCTGTCCAGACTGGAAACGGAATTCAAACAATTTTGACGTCGCCACTTTCGGCACGGGACAGCGAGCGAGCAATGTCAGACGCTGCCGCTCGGCACCTCAGGGCAGCGGAGCTCAGCTCCGCAGGGCAGCAGCTCGCCACTGCGACACCCGACCGGCCCAGAGCCCTGGGGGTACTGGCGTGCGCCTCTCTCTCTCAGCCGGGCCTGGCTTGTCTGCGAGGCAGAGACTTATCCACGACCACCGCCTGGGGGAATCGATCTTCGGGGACTCGGCAGGCGGTAGACTCGATCCACGACTCCGAAGTGGGCGTGGAGTGCAATGTTCATCCCCGGGACTCTCCAGATCCACCGCTTTGGAGTCGTGCCCCCGAGGATCTAGCGGAGCGTTAGAGACCCGGCGCGGCGGGAAGGTACCCCATGCCCAAATCTTCGCGGGATTCTCGGGGGTCCGTCTCCAGATCGATCGGATGATGCGGGTATGGTCGGGAACTCTGGCTCAGCGTTTGGAGGCGGCGGCCCCGGCGACACGCTATGCCCTGCAAGCGGATAGCGTGTCGTTCCGCTCCGCGGGGCGGGAGGCTCGGAAAGGGTCGGGACGCAGACGCCTGGGGACCGGGACGTGGATAGTGTGTCTCGTCGAGGAGTGGTGGACCAAAACGCATCATCATCATCATCATCATCATCATCATCATCATCATCATCATCATCATCATCATCATCATCATCATCATTATCATCACCACCACCACCACCATCGTCATCATCATCATCATCACCATCGCCATCACCGTCGTCATCATCATCATCATCACGATCATCATCAAGAGCATCATCATCATCACCATCATCGTGATCATCACCACCATCGTCATCATCATGACCATCATGATCATCATGATCATCACCATCAGCATCATCATAATCATCATCAGCATCATCAGCTTGATCAGCATTGCCAACATCAGCGACATCAGCATCATTATCAACATCGTCAAAGTGTTCGTGATCGTCGGCATCACCATGACCAGCATCATCATCATCAGCATCATCAGCATCACCATCATCATACCTTCCATCGTCATCGTCATCGTCATCATTATTGCTATCTTCATCAGCAGCATCATCACCAGCATGATCAGCATCAGCATCGTTATCATCTGCATCAACATCGTCATCAATATCAACTGCATCGTTGTCGTCATCATGTTCCGCACCATTGTAGTCATCATTATCAGCAACCTTAACATCGTCAGCGTCCTTCTCCTCATCATCGTCAGCATCATCGCCGTCGTCATCATCATGATCACTGTCATCATAATCCGCATCACTGTCCTTGTCCTAACCCACATCATCACCACCATCATCATCAACCGCATGAACACCATCATTCTCCTGATCATCACCACCATCCGCCATCATCATCATAATCAACAACAAACTCATCATCATCGTCGCCACCATCATCATCATTGTCATCATCATCGTTGCCAGCATCATCATCATCATCATCACCAGCATCATCATCACAATCAGCATCATCATCATCAGCAGCACCAACATCATCACCACCATCACCATCAACATCCTCAGCAGCATCACCACCATCGCCCCTGACGGACTCACAGACTTCGAACACGCACCAAAACCCCAAGACAGACAAGGCGTCACGCGTGAGGGCGTCAAGCACCTTGCTCCCAGAACCCCATATGACTCATGACTGCACTGAGGAAAGCGCGCCACGTGTTACAGCCCTTCGAAGACCAATGATACAAGACATCACACGTTAGGACTTCCGTGCTTTGTCGCGCACAGACCACCGAGAAAACTGGGCTGGCACGGCGGCGGGACTTGCAACAGGCAGCTGGATATCCACACCCCTCACCTGCTGGGGCCCCCGAAGATCGATCCCCCAGGCGATAGTCATGGATGAATCCCCGCCTCGGATTGCCATCTGCCAACGTCCGCAAGCCGGCTAAGCCGAGGGCCAAAGGTTAGCCCTTCGTCTACTCGGTAAGGGGGCCCTTTCTGAAGCGGCCAACCTATTGCGGCAGCCATAAGTCAGGTTCTGGATCTCTCGACCTTTGTCTGTGGCATTAAATTCAAGCTTGGGCCGAACTCTGTACGCTTCAGGGCCCGAAAAGAGTCTCCGCACGCCCAAAACAGAAAAGCCTGCCATCCGAATTTGTTTACGGAGCTGGAGGCCTGCGAACGACCTCATCCTCTGCATCCTTTTGGTTCCGCTACGTTTCTCGCATCCTTTTTCCTCCTCTCCCCTCTTCCTCATCCTCCTCCATAGCGAGCCCCCCAACCCCTCCCTCATCCCCCGTCATCCTCCTCCCTCCCCATCCTCCTCTTCTACGAGTCGACGCCTATCTCACGGAGGAGTCGTGCGATCGCGTGAACCCGCCCAGCGCACGCCAGCGACAGGGACTCTGGGACTTTGACATAGAGAAACCCCTGGGAAGTGGGACTGAACATCCTCCTCCTCCTCTTCATCCCTCCTCCTCTTCCTCTTCTTCCTATTAATGTTGCTCCTCCTCCTCCTCCTCCTTCTCCTCACCCTCTTCCTCCTCCTCCTCCTCCTCCTCCTCCTCGTCCTCCTCATTCACCTCCATCATAATGCGTCCCAGGGAGTCATGAAGATGGCCCTAGAGGAGCACCAGCGGGTGAACGCGAATCGACGACCCCAGCGACCGCCAGCAGGCCCCCAAGAGGCCCCCCAGAAGCTCCATGAGGCCCCCACGTTGCCAAGATCAGGCCCTACGATGCCCAGGTCAGGCCCCAAGAAGCCCCCGAGAGGCCCCCAAGAGGCCCCCAAGATGCCCCCAAGATACCCTAAAGGCGCCTCCAAGAGGCTACCGAGAGGCCTCCCAGGAGATCCCCGCAGACATCCAAGAGGCCTCTGACCTATAACCAAGCTGCGGTGGCGGGAGGGGCCCCAGGCCACTAGACCTGGCCCGGCACACAAACGGAAAGAGCGCTGCAGCAACAGAAACCGAAATTACGCACACCACCGTTCGCACCGGGAGCCTTGGCGTTGAGAGCTGGTTAGGTCACCCCTCGCTCTTGGGAGCCTTGGGGTTCAGAGATGGTTGCATTGCCGCCCGTTCCTGAGCCTTGGCTGGGCCTTGGTATCAGAAACTTGTTACGTCACCGCTCTATGCTGGGAGCCTTGGTCTTATCAGCTTGTCTACGTCACCGTTCGCTCTTGGGAGCCTTGGTGTGAAGAGCTTTTTGCGTGACCGATCGCTCTGGGCGTCTCTGGGCCTGCTTGGGAGTCCTATGGGGGCCCCTTTCGGGCCCTCCTGGTGGCCTCTTGGGGGCCAGTTGGGGCTTCTTGGGGGTCTGTGGGGGGCTCCCGAGAGCGTCTTGGGGCGAAAGGCTAGACTTTCGGGTTCGTGGTCCCCCTCTTGAGGCCGTCTTGGGGCCCTCTTGGGCCGTCTTGGGCGCCTCTTGGGCCGTCTTGGCACCCTCTTGGGCCGTTTGGGGGGCCTCTTGGGAGCCTCTGGGGCCGTCTTAGGGCGGTCTTGGGGGCCTCTTGGGCCGTCGTCAACGCCGTGAAAGCCGAAAAGCCGTGCATGCTAAAATGGGATGCCTCTTGGGGGCCCCTTGGGGCTTCTTGGGGGGCTGTGGGAACCTCCCGGAAGCGACTTGGGCCGATAGGCTAGACTTTGCGGTTCGTGATCCCCCCTCGGGGCCGTCTCGGGGCCCTCTTGGGCCGTCTTGGGCGACTCTTGGGCCGTCTGGGGGCCCTCTTGGGCCGTTTTGGGGGCCTCTTGGGAGCCTCTTGGGCCGTCTTGGGGCGGTCTGTGGGGCCTCTTGGGCCGTCGTCAACGCCGTGAAAGCCGAAAAGCCGTGTATGCTAAAGATAGACGGCTTCCGATGGAAAATCAATGATTTGGGCCTCTTGGGGCCCTCTTGGGGCGGCCCTTGGGCGCCTCTTGGGCGCCTCTTGGGCAGTCTTGGGCGGTCTTGGGCTCTCTCGGAGCGCTCTTAGGCCGCCTTGAGGGAGAACCCTAAAAACATGCAAAACACCCGAGGGAAAAAACCCAAACGGCCATTAGAGCCCAAACGTGCGCGCTACGCCCCCCCTCTGGAACCCCTCGTTAAGGGGCTTCGCCCAAAACACAACGTCATCGCTCGTACTTCGCTCTTTCCGTTACCTGGCCCGGCACACCGACGGAAAGAGCGCTTGAGAAACAGAAACCGAAATTACTCACACCCCTCCGTACTGGGAGCCTTGGCGTTGAGAGCTTGTTACGTCACCCCTCGCTCTTGGGAGCCTAGGCGTTCAGAGATTGTTGCGTTGCCGCCCGTTCCTGAGCCTTGGCTGGGCCTTGGTGTCAGGAACTTGTTACGTCGAGGCTCTCGGCAAGTAGCCTTGGTCTTATCAGCTTGTTTACGTCACCGTTCGCTCTTGGGAGCCTTGGTGTGAAGAGCTTTTTGCGTTACCGATCGCTCTTTATGTGGCGTCTCTGGGCCTTCTTGGGAGTCCTATTGGGTTCCTTTTGGAGCCCTTTTGGGGGCCTCTTGGGGGCCTCTTGGGGGGTTCTTGGGGCACCCTGGGGGCTAAAGGCTAGACTTTTCGGTTCGTGGTCCCCCTCTTGGGGCCGTCTTGGGGCCCTCTTTGGCCGTCCTGGGGCCCTCTTGGGCCGTCCTGGGGCCCGCTTGGGGCCGTTTTGGGAGCATCTTGGGAGCCTCTTGGGCGCATCTTGGGCCGTCTTGGGGCCCTCTTGGCCTTTTGGGGGCCTCTTGGGAGCCCCTTGGGCCGTCTTGGGGCGGTCTTGGGGGCCTCTTGGACCGTCGACAACGCCGTGAAAGCCGAAAAGCCGTGTATGCTACCAACGTACGTTTTCCAGACGAAGAAACATGTTTTGGGCCACTTGGGGCCCTCTTGGGACGCTTCTTGGGCGCCTCTAGGGGCGTCTGGGAGGCCTCTTGGGACGTCTTGGGGCTGTCTCTCCTGGTGGCCTCTTGGGACGCCTCTTGGACCTTCTTGGGGGGCTCTTGGGGCCTCCTGGGGAAAGTCTCGGGGCGAAAGGCTAGACTTTTGGGTTCGTGGTCCCCCTCTTGGGGCCGTCTTGGGGCCCTCTTTGGCCGTCTTGGGCGCCTCTTGGGCCGTCTTGGGGCCCTCTTGGGCCGTTTTGGGGGCCTCTTGGGAGCATCTTGGGCAGTCTTGGGGCGGTCTTTGGGGCCTCTTGGGCCGTCGTCAACGCCATGCAAGCCGAAAAGCCGTGTATGCTTTAAATGCACGTTTCCCTAAGGAAAATACATGTCTGATGCCTCTTGGGGCCCTCTTGGGACGCCTCTTGGGCGCCTCTTGGGGCGTCTGGGAGGCCTCTTGGGACGTCTTGGGGCTGTCTTGGGCGGTCTTGGGCTCTTCTGGGACAGAAAAAGGGGGGAATCCGAAAAACATACAAAAAATCCAGCGGGGAAAAACACGAAAACTGCCATTATCACACATTCCCCCGCCAAACCCCCCTCCCCTGGAACCCCTCCCTTTAGGGCGTCGCCCACACCAAAACGTCATCACTCGTACCTCGCTCTTTCCGTTACCTGGCCCAGCACGGAAACGGAAAGAGCGCTTCAGCAACCTGCCAGAGATGGCTTATGGCACCCTTCGCTCTTGGGAGCCTTGGTGGTAAGAGCTTGTTGCGTCACCGCTCGTTCTTGGGAGCCTTGCTGGCAAGCGCGTGCTACGTCACCGCTCTCAGTTGGGAGCCTTGCTCCTCCTCCTCCTCCTCCTCCTCCTCCTCCGCCTCCTCCTCTCCTTCTCCTCCTCCTTTTCCTCCTCTGACTCCTCCCCCTCCTCCTCCTCCTCCTCCTCCTCCTCACCCCGGTCCTCCTCGTTCCTCTTTCTCATACTCCTCCTCCACCTCCTCCTCCTCCTCCTCCTGACTCCTCCTCCTCCTCCTCCCTCGTCCTCGTCCTCGTCCTCCTCCTCCTCTTCGTCGTCCTCCTCCTGCTCCCTCCTCCCTCCTCCTCCTTCTCTCCTCCCCTCATCCTCTCCTCCTCCTCCTCCTCCTCCTCCTCTCCTCCCTCCTCCTCCTCCCTACCCCCTCGTCCTCGTCCATTTCCTCCACCTCCTCTCTTTCTCCTCGTCGTTTTCCTCCTCCTCCTCCTCCTTCCTCTCCTCCCTCCTCTCCTCCTCCTCCCCTCCTCCTCCTCCTCCCTCCGCCTCCTCATCCCCCTCCTCCTCCTCCTCCCCCCTCCTCCTCCTCCTCCTCCCTCCCCCCAACGGCCCAACCCTCCCTCCTCCTCCTCCCCCCCAATCCCTCCCTCCCCCCTCCTCTCCCTTCCTCCCCCCTCCTCAGGGAGGCCCCCAAATTTTCCGCAGGCCGTAACGCCTATACGTCAAATGCCCCAAAGCCCTCAAGGCCCCAAAGGCCCAAAACCCCCAAGAGGACAAAAGCCCCCAGGAGCCCCGACCCCCAAAGACACCAAGACCCCAAGAGGCGCCCACCCCTACCCACCCCCCGACCCCCCCCCCCCCCCCTCCCTCCCCCCCCCCCCCCTTCCCTCACACCCCTCCTCTCTCAGTGTTTCCCACGTGTTTTTGAGGCGTCGCAGGCTGGGGACGAGGCCAAAGGGGCCAAAGTTCCCAAATTTTGGCCTCATGGGATCCAAAGGCAGGGGCGGAGGGTCCCCAGCCCTCTAGTCCCCCCCCCTCCCATCCCCTCTCCCCCCCCCCGATCCCCCCCTCCCCCCTAATTGCCCTGCCCCCCCCCTCCCCTAACCCCCTCCCGCCTTCTTTGTCTCTCCCTCTTCCAAATCCACCCTCCCCCTGGCCCCCCCACTTCCATCCCCCCCTCTCCCTCGCCTCCTCTCCTCACACCAAGTCCCTCCTCCCAGCCTCTCCTTTCCTCCTCCTCCCTTCCTCCTCTCCTCCTCCTCTCCCTCCTCCTCCCTCCTCCTCCTCCTCCTCCTCTCCTCCTCCTCCCCCTCCTCTCCTCCTCCTCCTCATCCTCCTCTCCCCCTCCCCCCTCCTCGGCCACAATCAATTCTGGTCATCCCTGGTCCAATTAATTTTCCTGCTCGGCGTCTCCTTCTCCGTGTATACCCTCCCTCCTTTCGCCCTCCCCTTTCCTCCTCCTCCTCCTTCCCCACCTCCCTCCCATATCCCCTCCCTCCTCTTCTCCTGCCTGTATCTGCCGCCTCATCATCTCCTCCCCCCCATCCTCTTCCTCCTCCCCTCCTATCGAGTCCTCTCCTCTGGGAGGGACCCCTCCCTGTCTCTCCGCCTCCCCTCCTTCTCCTCCTCCTCCCCCCTTCCTCCTCCTCTTCCCTCCTCCTCATCCTCCATTATCATTATCATCATCGGCATCACCACCATCATCAGCACTACCATCAGGCCAACAATCAGATTACTGGTACTACTCATCTTCATCTTAATGTGAATCATCTCTCTGCTCGGCAGCTCTGCCCTTTCTCCAGATTATTACTACCTCTCCCTCCTTCTCGCACCATCCCCTTGTCCTCCTGCCTCCTAGTTCCGCGCACGTAGCGTCCTCATAATCTTCCTCATGTTCATCTTTCTCACATGCCTGGTCATCTGATTGCTCATCATCATTCTTCTCCCCCCCATCCTCTTCCTCCTCCCCCTCGGGAGGCGAGGGGGGCGTGCGCTTGTGGGAGGGACCAGGGGCTGCTGCCTAGGGCCAGATCTATGTAGTGCTTGGGGGGGCGGGGTGGATGGGGAGAACGGGAAGGGGGGGGGGATGGCGTGGGGATGAAGAGGAGGAAGACGGGAGGGAGGAGGAGAGACGAGCTACGTTTTGCGAGGTTTGCCGGCGGAGGGTTTTGGGCGTTCTGGGAGGGCACGGGGGAGGAGGGGGAGGGGGGGGAGAAGGGGGAGGGTGGCACGGGGGAGGAGGGGGGGGAGGAGGGAGTGACCAGGACGAGGATGGTCTGATGGATGTCCGACGTTTGCGGAGGCTTCATGGGCGTTCCAGGTAGGGGGGGAGGAATAACGGGATCTGAACAGCGAACAGCGGATGTGTGAGAAAGTGGGAGGGGGGAAGGAAAGGACAACTCGGGGGCGGAAGAGAGGGATGGTCCTGGGGAGGCGCAGCAGGAGAAACGGATGAGAAGGAGGCAGAGAACAGGCAGAAAAAGGATAACCAATGTGTGCAACATGAGCTACACATAATGTGTGGGGCACAGAACGAGGAAGGAGAAGCAACCAAGATAGAGCACACGAAGGGAGGGAGGAGAAGGAGGAGGTGGAGCAGGGTACTCGTGGAAAGAGGAGGAGGGATGGGGAAGCCTCGTGCTCCTCCTCCTGCTCCTTGGTGTAAGGTCTACGATTATGGGTGGTCCGCCTCTGCCCCCTCCAAGGCATATACCCCGTCTCCCACTCCTTTGAGCCAGTGATGATGGTGTCGCCCTCGTAGTTGAAGGCGCAGGAGAAGATCTCGTCGCTGTGGCCCTCGAGCACCTGCTGCCAGGACTTGGGCGCCAGCCCCCACAGGGTGCAGAGGCGGATGAGCGTGCTGCTCAAGTGTCGTAAATCCTCCTCCTCCTCCTCCTCCTCCTCCTCCTCATCATCATCATCATCATCATCATCATCATCATCATCATCATCATCATCATCATTATTATCATCACCATTACCATCATCATCATCATCATCATCATCATCATCATCATCATCATCATCATCATCATCATCATCATCATCATCATCATCATCATCATAATCATCATCATCAGCAGCATCAGCATCAGCATCATCATCCTCATCCTCATCCTCCTCATCCTCATCCTCATCCTCATCCTCATCCTCATCCTCATCCTCATCATCAGCATCAGCATCAGCATCATCAGCATCAGCATCAGCATCAGCATCATCATCATCATCATCATCATCATCATTATCCATGCTCCTTCCTCTCTGCAATCGCTCGCTCGAAAATCAGCGCCACGATTGACGAGAGACAGCCGTGGCAAGACGCTGGTCTCATCTGCTGTGACGAGGGCCAAGAGCTCCCGACTCGACCCCATCCCATCCCTGGGACAGGTCCTTCGTTGCAGGTCGGCTCATTAATATCCCGTTGCGTGACGCATACGGACATGCTGGCATGTAGCACTCAGCATTTGCGGATAAGAGTAGGGGGGGCGGGCGCGGGGTGGGTCGCGGGTGGGTCGCGAGGGGGACGCGGGGGGGCCGACGACAACAACAAACAACAACAAACAAGCAACATCTGGGCCGCGAAATCCCGCTTCACCCACGCACCCAGGGATGGTGTAAGACCGGTCGGCTCCCTCAGTCTGACAATGCGCCCCCCCTTGGATGCGCACGTCCGAATCGCACATACAATACAACTAGATAGCATATCTTGACCAGGCGATATGGCCGGAAAGCGCCCACCACCGAGCAGATACTTTAAGATGTGTGAGCGCGCGCGCGCGTCGTCCCTGGGGGGCCGACGACACAGAGCGGTTTGAATGTTGCCGACCTTGGGCCAGAAAGCAGTCCCTCCTCCTCCTCCTACTCCTCCTCCTCCTCGCGAAACGGATACGCCCATCCTCCTTGTGTTTACCCTAATTACTTCTTGTTCCGCACGCGGCACCGCCCACGTGTGAGCAAACGCACGGCAGAAGCACAATAGCTGCCACTATCAGGACAAGCGCGAGCTGAGTGCTGGTGCTGCCACATCACACGCGACGCCGCTGCCCTCCGCCAAAGTAGAGAGGAGGAGGAGGCGGAGGAGGAGGAGGAGGAGGACAAAGGAGGACAAAGGAGGACAGAGGAGGAAGAGGAGGAGGACGACGACGGGGGAAACCCAGAGGTACCGATACCGCTACTCGACAGACCTCTCATGGGGTGCATTCTGACAAGAACTTCGAGGCGAATCCAGCGGTGACAACGAGGGCCTCCCAGGAGGCCCAAAAAGGCAAAAAACAAGGCGAGGGCAGCGGTATCGGCACCATGTCCCCCTCGGAACGCCGACGACGACCCTCGCCCGCGCGACTGGGCAGCGATCGCCCACCGGGGCGCCGCCCCTCGAAAAGGGGGCGCAGCAGCCGGAGAGGCGGGCCGGGCGCCGCCGCAGGTGGCGCGGCGGCCCAGGGGCGCCGCGCTGCGGAGCCCCGAGGAGGCACTCTGGGTGCCTTCTGTCGGCGGCGAGCCTGGGGGGGGGCGGGCGTTCTCACAAGGCTGTGGCACGCGTCCGCGGGAGGAGGACAAGTGAGCGCAATGGGAGGGGACGTGAGGGAGGGAGAGGATGTTTGTTGGGGCGCGAGCGCACCTAGCTTGCCCCCCCCCCCCTCTTTTGTGAGATGCGACTTCTGATATGTGCTGCGGATGGGCGCACGCGTTATTTTCCGTGTGTCGCCTAAAGCTCAAGAGCCCTGGGAGCCATAACGTTTACGGAGCGATATGGGTGAGACGAGGGGCGAGCGCTGGGCAGTCCAGCACTCTCGCTTGCACACTCGTTATAAAATTCAGTTGCCCCTTGTCGATCAAGAAGCCAAAACATGAATGGCACGCAGCGTGCCAGCAAATGAAACTCCAGGGGCCGATAGCGGGCGATCCGCCATACTCTCGAACGGCAGGCTTCAACACATCAAAACAAGTTTGCGGAAGGAAAACAAACAGGCGGCCGAAAGGCCCCAGGATATCTGAATACGGAATCCGGTTCACTTGAAATATCTCAAACCCAATGTTCCCAATGTGTAGACCATGAACTCATCATGCTATTATGGTCGTCGTCTGTCTTAGGCGGGGCGTCTCGGTGAAACATCACATGTCCACTCATCGCATTGCGTATATGTGATCCACCCAACCTCTTCGTTTGCGCATCAGCCACCGTATACTTAGCGGGGCACCATGCCAACGGCAAGTTAGATCTAGCAGCGGCATTCGTCACCCAACAACTCACGCAGCCCAGCAAATCACACGCCAGGTGTCTCACATCAGGCAACTTCACTGCTCCTCCGCGGTACACTGCGCCATATAGTGAAGAACAATCCGCCACACATTGAATCGCACACATACCTGGGTCAATATCATCGATACTCATGCCAGGATACAGAATGTTAAGGAAAGAAGCACGCATCACAACAGCTGCACCCAAAGCGCCCACTGCACTCATTGTCTCCGCAGCAAAAGTGCAGCGACATACTCTCCTGATGGCGGCGGACCTCCAGTCCTCCAACGCCGCCTTGCCCTCGCCTTTCTCGAAGATCTTCTGCTCGGTCACAATACCAAGAAGCCTGCTTGACTTTTAGCCTTCAACCTCTTCGGGGCATCCGAAGCGAAAGCTGTATTGCATCGACGCCTGCGCCGCCGGGCTGCGCCGGGCACCTCGTCGTCGGGCTCGTCCACGTTAGCCCGCGCAGCATCGTGAAATACAAGAACGTATAGCTCGCCATCCAACTTCGGAATCGTGATGGCGGTCTCGTTGTAGCGCTTGGCCTCTGCCACTATGCGATTCGCCTCGATCAAGTCGGCGACGGTCGGCGAGTTCTGCACTTGCTGTGCCCTTGAAGCTCCTGCAGCTAGATCAGGTCTAGTCTGCGTAGCAAGCCATCCCAAGCTTCCGATCAAACTCCGGGCCTCGGCGGTCTCGATCTCCGCGGCAGGGCATCCGAGATCTCTCTTGCGCTCCTTCGTCAACTCGAGCGCCTCTACCTTCTCGGCAAACACTGCCTGAGACATGCGAATATCTCCATCTGACCGTCGACCGACATCCTTAGCATAGAAAGTGACGTCGAGTCGTTGCCAACCTCCGAACGGAAACAAACTCTTGATCATATCGTCGCTGGCTTCGGTGCTGGCTGCAATCAGCAAGTCACCCACATGCACGCAGACGATGGCTTGCAAGGTCCAATATGATCCATGTCCCATGAACAAAGCTGGGCCTACCAAGCTCTGAACTAAATTGAGCTTCTGGTTCTGGCTGCTCGCAAGCTTGACCCTCGGTCGAGCGTTCTTGAGCGTAGCCCGCCGTTGTCTTGGAGCGGTAGCCAAACCAAAAATCCCCTGGACGATTTGTAGCATCTCTTGGCTGCTCCTCCCCCTGCATGAACGCGGACGCGATGCCGGCGCGCGCTGGATCCCACTCACATCGAGCTGCCATTATGAAGAACAACAAAGAACTGGTTCTGGCCACTGTCGGCGCATCAGTGCGGAGAGCTCCAGTCCGTAGAACTGGGTCGCGATGTCCTCCAGTGCAGAGTCTGGCGTTGGCATTCACCGGCGCGGGGTTGGCCTCCGTGCGGATGGTGACGTTCTTGTCCCAGAGCACGAACCTGGGCGGCCGAAATCGGTTGCTGTCGCCCCCCCTCTCGTGCTTGCTGAGATTCTTCCAGAGATAACGCCTCCGCTGAGCCATATTTCTTCCACTCCTCCCAGTGCTCCGCGATGGCCCCCTGGAAGAGCGGCTTGTGCTCCTCTGGGATGTCCTTCCAGGCGATCTCCCTATCCCGCAGCGTCTTCCTGAGTCTTTCACTCTGGGCTCGAGCTCCACGAAGCATGACTGGATAACTGGAATTGGTGGGCGTGCCCTCGTCGCTATCTTGGGCGATACTAACGTAGTATAGTTGTCCAGCTTGACGTGCGACTCGTCGTGTAGCGTTCTGTCGCGCGGCCAATTTTTGCTGATGTCTTCCTCGAACGCACCGAGGTGCATCGTCGAGCGGGTTGTAGACGGTTCGGAGTCGCTGGAGCTCCTCGCTGTTCCAGTCTCCGTAGTTCGGCCCCGGGCGATCCTGAACTCGTCCGGATGGCGGCGGTGACACTGACGCAGTTGGAGCCGTTGCTGCGCCTGGCTGTTCTTGCGGGAGCTCATCAGCAGGTGAAGGCTCCACATCCCTCGGCAGCCATTCCTGCAGGTTCCGCCTCCATATCAACAGCTCCTTCTTCAAGTAGTGGTTCTTCTCCTCGTAAATCTTCGTGCCCCATGTCGGCGCTGGCGTCGGCGCCGCGACCTTGTCGCTGAAGTTGATCTAGAGCTTCTCCACGTTGATCGTCAATGTCTGGCCACCCAATACCAGCAGCAGCAATGCAATCGATCCAGCATTTCTTGAAATACAGACCAAAAGCACGTTCCGAATCCACCGCTCCACTTGCTGGAGGTCCTGCCCAGCTGGTCCATATGTGAGTGAACACCCTAACCAAAGTATCTGAGTGGTGGCTCTCGATCATGGCCGCAGCGTGAAACGCAGTGCCCAAATCCACCACTGATAAGAAACCCCGAGCCTGGCCATCGATGTCCATGATCGTGGAACAATCCAGCCCGATCTGCGCATTGATATCTCTTGCGTGCGACAACCTGGCTGGCCTCGCGATATTATTCCTCGCCTCGCTCATGCAGGAAGCACCGCGTAGTGACTCCGCTGCCATCACAACCTCCGGTCGACGCCCTGAGAATCCCAATGCTATCGCAAGGTCTTCGTTGCTGGGATGTCCTCGATTCTGCTGTAGCTGACGTA